GTACCCCGTCAGCACGACGAACTGCAGCGCGCTCGAGTTCCACATCGCGCCGACGAACGACGAGTGACGACGTCACCGACCTCACCGCTCTGACCTCACCGCTCCGACCTCACCGCTCCACCTCACCGCTCCGACCTCACCGCTCCGACCTCACCGCTCTGACCTCACCGCTCCGACCTCACCGCTCCGACCTCACCGCTCCGACGTAAGAAGAAAAAAAAACTGTCATGTTATACACAAATTCAGAGAACCTCTTCTTCTCACAGGTCACATGTGTTCTTCTCACATGTTCCTCTCACATGTTCTTCTCACATGTTCCTCTCACACGTTCCTGTCACACAGGAGTCTCAGTCTGTGTCTCTTCTTCTCTCCAGCAGCCGTCAGGATTTATTTATAATTTCTTCGTGTTGATCTGAAAAAGTCAAATGTGCAGGATTAAAAATCTTTTACTCTTCTTCATGTTTCATTCTGGTTCTGATCTTTGTGAAAGATAAACGGGTCATGGATCATGTTTCATGTTTCATGTTTCATGTTTCATGTCGTTTCTTTCTTCCTTAAATTCACTCAGTTTGTTGTGATTCTAAAACCAGCAGCTCTGAGATTTTCATTTTGGAAAAGTGAACATCACATGTTCCTGTCACATGTTCCTGTCACATGTTCTTGTCACATGTTCCTGTCACATGAGGCGACACAACAATAAACTGGTTTAAAAATCTGTGGCGCCAAATAAAATTATTAACAACCATTGAACCAAATAAATATTATTGAACACACACACAGACACACACACGTGTGTGTCTGTGTGTCTGTGTGTGTGTGTCTGTGTGTGTGTGTTTCTTTTCTAATGCAGCACTCAGACTTTTCTAAACCATTGTAAAATTAAACGTAATAAACGAGCTCCTGACGTTACGAGACGATGAGGAGCTTCTCATGGACGATAGGGACAAAAGACACGGACCAGAAGACCTCCTGATGGACCAGGACCTCCTGATGGACCAGGACCTCCTGATGGACCAGGACCTCCTGATGGACCAGGACCTCCTGATGGACCAGGACCTCCTGATGGACCAGGACCTCCTGATGGACCAGGACCTCCTGATGGACACGGACTCAAACCACACAAAAACCAAGTCCAAAGAAAAAGTCTCTGTTCCAAAAACCAGATGCCAGAGACGAGCTCCACCACCACCAGAAATGTTTAAAAGACCCAAAACCAGAACTAAACCAGAACTAAACCAGGACTAAACAAAGGTCTAAACCAGATCAGAATCAGATTAAGTGGTGCTGCAGCTGCAGTCTTCATGGTGCAGAGGACGGTGACAGGTGCAGATGACAGGTGACAGAGACAGGTGCAGCAGGTGAACTCTTCTTAAATAGTTTGTGAGCTCCTGGTTTGGACCAATCAGACGTCGCGTCTGGAGTCTGGGGATTTTCTGTGACCAAAGTTCTGCCCAAAGTTTTACAACCAGCATTTTTATTATTATTATTTTTATTATTATTATTTATTTATTTATTTTTAATGATTATTTGTATTTATTTTTAATTTTTATTATCATTGTTATTATAATTAATTTATTTAAAATTTATTTTTTATTAAATTAAATTTGATTAAATTTTATTTACAGATCTCAAATCACAATGTTCCTCGAAAATGATTTGAGTTGTCAGACTCTCGTCGTGTTATGGGCCCCACAGAAGAGGGGCCCCTGCACACAGACAGGGGGCACCTGCACACAGACAGGGGGCACCTGTCACCTGTCCCAGGGTCTCAATCTTCTTGGTCTTGATCTTGAAAAAGAGATTAAATATTCCTCAAACATTAATCAGTCCAAACGTCAGAGGGTCAGAGAAGAAACGACGAGAAGAAACGACGAGAACCTGAAGAAACAACTGAGAAGAAACGACGAGAACCTGAAGAAACAACTGAGAAGAAACGACGAGAACCTGAAGAAACAACTGAGAAGAAACGACGAGAACCTGAAGAAACATCTGAGGAGTTACTTTTACAGAACAGAAGTCATTTAACAGGACTAAACCAGGACTGTGGGGCAGGTGCAGACAGGTGCAGACAGGTGCGGACAGGTGCGGACAGGTGCAGGCTCTGGTTCAGTGACGTGGGTTTAAACGTCCCATAATCCTCGGCTCTGTTCTGGACTCGTGTTTTGTTTCGTTCACATGTTTAACCCACAAACTCTGTTCCACCTCGTGATGTCATCATGTGGTGATACAGGAAGTGCTCCACTGTGTTTTTAAACTGTGTCATGGAGCTGAGAGTTTGAGGAGTTCAGAGTTTGAGTCCTGGTCGAGGTTCAGACTTTAGATTGACAGAGCAGAGTCCCTCAGGTCCCCGGGCTCCTGATGTTTGTCCAGGCTCAGGTCCGACTCGCTCCCTCTGGACCTCGGATAATTTACCCCCCCGAGACTCCAGCCGCCTCCGCCGCCTCCATCACCGCGCCAACGGGATCTCCACCGCCAAACATCTCCAGGCCACACCCCCGGG